ATTATTATATATAAATTTTTTTAANATATATTTAATATATTATTATTAATTATTATTATTAATATATATTATTTTTATGTTTCAATTATTTGATCTAAATATATTATTAAAAATCATTAAACGGAATTGATTTGTAATGCAAAAAAGTTTACATAATCTTAAAAAAAAACAGTGCAATTTTTATATCTTTGTAAACATATAACAAAATGGACAAAAAAATATAGAATGTATTATTTAATTTTATTTTCTGAAATCTTTTTTTTATTTCTACTTCATTTTCATAGTTTGATTTATTTATATGAAATAGAAAGTATAAAAAGTATAAAAATCAAAATTTTTTTTTATCGCATATTTAATGATTATTTAAATGATATATTTTATTACTATAATTTCAAAAAAGGTATAAATAAAGATTCAAAAATCCTTTATTAAAAAATAATAATAAATATAATATGAAATTACAATTGATTATTTCTGTTCAATAAAATATAAAAATAGATTCATGATATTTATTATATTAATATTAGTATTTATGTTAGTTTTATTTTAAAGTGCCATTCATAAATTTTTATTACATATTAATAAATCACTTACAATAAATAAATTAGTAAAAAAAAAATATTTATTGAAATTAAAATTTTTTTTTTATATATTGTAAATTTAAATTTGTAAACTTTTTTTTTCTCTGAGAAGAAATTAAATTGTAAATTTACAATAATACAATATGCAATTTAAATATTATTAATTATAATATTCTTGAAATATAATATTCATTATGAATATTGAAATATTGTAATATAATTAAATAAATTATGTATTAAAAAATGTATTAAATTAATTATGTATTAAAAAAAATATATCAATAAAATAATACAATTATTTGGATTATTCCACTGATAATTATTATAATATATTATATATTCAATTGAAAATTAAAAAATTAAAAAATACTATAGTACTTGAAGTATTAAAACTATATTAATGATAATTTATATATTATATATATATATATACTATTAAAATATAGTACTATTAGAAGTATATTATTAGAAGTATAGTATGGATCATAATATAGCAAGGTCATAAATTAAAAACTTAGAAAGTGGTCGAGTAGTGTCGAATGTGACATGCATTTAATTATTATATTCTTTTTTAAGTTTCCAAAATTTATCAAAAACACTTCTGACATCTAACATTTTATTTGATTGATTTTTGTCTTGTTATATAGTCTATACTATAGTATATTATAGTATATATAGTACTATAGTATACTATACTATAGTATATTTAATAAAGCTTCATATAAGAAAATTAATTTTTTATAAAATATAGCAATAAATTTCTTCGATATTATTGTTTAATAAATATTTGAATTTTTTTTAATATCATTAAAAATACTTTTATAAAAATTTCAATATCATTATATTATTTTTAATATTATATATTCTTACTGTCATTAAATTATTATGCATGTCAATGCATAATACAAATTTTTATGTATGTTAAATATTCAATGGTATACTTAAATAAATGTAGATATGTTTGAATAATAATTTAATGATTTTTTTATAAATATATATCATAAATGTCAAGATCAAATATAAAAAATATATATGTATGAATAATAAAATGACATATTAACAAAGAATTATCCAAATATTTATTTTATCGTTAAATATGTTTTAAAATAATAAATTAATAATAATAAAAATTAAAAATAATTCCATATAAAAAATCATGTTAAAATTTCTATAAATATAAAATAAATAAAAAATTTAATATTACATATATTTTATGTGTATAATATTTATAAATCAAAATATTTTTTCAACTTTTTTTACCAAAAAAAATTTTAAATGTCACTTAAGTAATAACAAATTATATAAAACAGAATAATTTATTACCATCAGTATACCTAATTACTATTTCTTTTAACTATGAATATTTTTTTTATTTCTCGAATGATTATGAATTTGCTTATATAAGTTTGTTTGTGCAAATATATAAATAGATGGAATAATTTAGTTCGTATTCAGTTTTCTAAAAGAAGTTCTATAAGAAAGAAATTTAATTATTTTGATTACAAAGAGTGATAAAATTTTACATTATGCGCTATAATTATATTGTATTTTTAATATTATCTTTATTAATGTGGACATTTGCTGAGGAACTTTATTCTGATAAATATGATTATGTGAATATTGACGAAATTTTGACAAATGATCGTCTACGAAATGAATATTATGATTGTTTCATCGATGCAGGCTCATGTATAACTCCGGATTCGGTGTTCTTTAAAAGTAAATATAAATTCTTATTAAAATGTGATAATATAAAAAAAAATCAAAATAAAATTTATACACATTTAATTAAAAAATAATTAATTATTAAAGAAATTATTTAAATGAAATTATATTTAATTTTTAGATCACATAACAGAAGCGTTTCAAACACAATGTAAAAAAATGTACCGAAATTCAAAAACAAAATATGGATAAATTAGCAGAATGGTTTACTGCAAATGAACCAGAAAAATGGAATCATTTCGTGGAAACAATGATAAAGAAAAAGAATGAAGGCGCATAAAGTTCACGTTAAATAATTATTAATATAATTAATTTTTTATATAAAATATAGAATAGTAGCAATTATTAGTAATTGAAATATATCTATTATATTCTAATTATATAATGTAATGACAAATATAATAACATTATCATAAAATATATTTTAAATTTATAATCTATAATACCTTTGTATTTTTTAGCAATATAAATCACGATATTTTATGTCTAATTACTTATAAATTAAAAAAATAAGTCATGTTTAGTAAAAATTATTTTTTTTTTAAAATATTATATAAGATTGAAAATTTCAAACAATTTTTTTAAATGGTATAACCAAATTTTCAAAAATCTATAGTTAAGTATATATTATTTTAGATTAATCGATATTTTAATTTTACAACGTGAATTTGGTTTCATGTTTAACAATATCGATAGATGAATTAAGCGCGAAATTTTAAATCACATGTAAAAAATAAAATAACTAATATATACACAATATATATATATTGTCCAAATATTTTACATAAGTAATATAATAAGAAGAAAATCAAGATTTAAAAGACAGAAAATATTTTGATTTTGAAAATTCATAATTTAATTATTATAAATTGCATTAAATTAGCAATAAAGATATATTTATTAATTAGAAAATGTTCCATTTATTGAAGATATTTTTTTTCTTTGATATTTCTATTAATAATAAAAAAATTAAAAGTTAAAATTTGTATTCTTTTCTATCATTTTTGAATGTTATATTGTTTCTTTTTATATTTATATATAATCTTTATCGTGTATAACTCAAATGAAAATAAATCTAGGGAGAAACTCTTTATTAAAAGCAAAATAATGCTAATATATTTATTCTTAATCCTAGAATTTATATTTTTTAGTAAAATATATAATAATAAATATTAAATATGTAACAATATTCTTCTTTGTACTGTTAATTTCTAATATTTTATTTAATTTATTAACAATTATTTTAATAAAATATTTCAATAAAATATTTCAATAAAATATTTATATTTAATATTTAATTAAAAGCAAAATTAAGATTATAAAAAATTATTATTTCGATTTTTCAATATTTGAAAAATTTAATGAAATAATGAATCTAGATGACAAATTATATATCGTAATATGAATATGTTTAACAATATACAAAATATAAACTAAATTTCATCAATATGAAATGATATTAATGATTGTTGTTATTATAATGAAAATTTTAAGTAAAATTACAAAAAAAATCTTAAGAAAATTGAAAATTGTTTTACATTAAAAAAAAAGAATTTAATATTCATTGGTTATTATAAACCGATTGTTGGAGGATTAACCAATAGGAAGCAATGTTGTTCACGCGGGGAGAAATAATGCAGTGGTTAAGGGAGCAGTCTACTGTGATAATTGTGTGGTAACTGTCAGTGCAGTGGAAAATATCGTATATGTAGGTTTGCATCATAATTCATATCAAAAAATTACACTTTAATCTAAAATGTCATCTCCTGCACAGGTGGTGAGTAATATTTTTTCTTATCGACTTTTCAATTCTCATAAATTTTTCTATTGTTCTTCGTTAAATTTTCTTTATTATCCTTATTTTGACAATTCGTTATAGATTTATTATTTTTTCATTTATAGAACAAAGATATTATCTATTTTTTGTTATTATTTTATTATATTAAAATAAAAATTATAAATGATCTAAAAAAATATTCCATCAAATTGTTGTTTTCTTTGTTTTGAACAAGTACTATCTTATGTAGCGCATTCGTTGATTTTCGTTCCGTTTACGGGTTATTAATAACTAATGTTGGTAGTATTGCGAATATGTTTTTAAGAGTTTATTTACGCTGAAAATTATTTTAATTGAAAATATAAACAGAAAAAATTTATTCATTTTATAGATATGAAATTTATATTATTTTACTATCATTTTTTTTATTACAAGACATTTTAAAGTTATGTATACTGTATAGTGTAATTAATGTGTTAATTTTGCAACAGTAGATTAATTTCCCTTTCTTCGATAGAAAAATTAAATACCAATATTCTTAATGCCATAGTCGTTTAACTATCCTAACCAAATTATTCTTATGTTTTTATAATGCTTTAATTGATTGTTTAATATTATTTATAAAAATAGAAATAAAAATATTACATAAAATATATTTATATTTTATGAAAATAATAAAATCAATATTTGAAATTTATTATTTTAAACATTTTTCGATATTGTTTTCTCGTTATTTTCTTGAAATCATAGTTTTTATTAATGTAATTATGCTTATGTTTTTTTTATATTTTAAGCTTATATTTAAAATAAATATTATGATATATAATAATTATAGAATGATTGTTTCTATATTATAATAATATATTTTTCTATTATCTTATTTTTTATGCTATATATTTATTTATTTTTCCTTAATTTTATGTCCTATTGCAAATATAAATTTTAAATGTTTGTTAATATGTTTGTTTAAATATTTAATATACTTTATTATACTAAATATCCATTAAATATATATAAATAACATTTCTTAATACTTTGTTGTTTATTCAATGATAAAAATAAAAAAAATATTTTGATAAATAAAAATTAATTTATTCAAAATTGATGATACTATATGCATCCAATATTATTTGTTAAATATAATCAATAATTTTATTATATATTATATTATTTTGAAAATAAATTTATATTTTTATTATTTAAAAAGTTATGTCTAAGAAATAGTTAATATTAGCAAAAATGAGAAGAAAAGATATATACAGATTAATTTCTAATTTTAAATTCTAAGTAAAGAAAAATAATTTATAATTATAATATTTATAACTAAAGTTTTTGAATGAGTTGAATAAACTATTATTAATATCTGAGTTCAGCGAGCTACGCACGCTGAAATATATTGCGATATACGTATCAACTGTTATTTTATAAAACTGCGCATCAGTTTCAAGCAATTTACATTAACTACATTAACTACAAAAATCTTTATCAGATCTTATTGGAAAACGGTATACTGAATTCTTATGCAAGTTATACATTTGAAATTGATATCTTGATTTTGATATTAATTTACATGTATTGCAACTTGCATCATGAAGTCAAGCATTTAATACATATAATTGCAACATATTTCAGCATATATAGACTGCTTTAATCATTTAATATTTAATTAAAACCAACGAATTCGATCTGAATTTCATATTTTATCTGTTTCAGTTAAAAAGTATTGGTCCAAAGTTAGTCCCGTTCTTTAAAAGCGTGTCTGTATATTTTATATTATTGGCTGAGCAGCCGTCCCTACTGACGGCATGTTTCAAGTGTTTACCAATTATAAGTCTTATCGTTTTTGTTCTGCTACATGGAATTAGTTTATCGCAGGAGTAAGTGCGAAAATATTTTGCATGTATCAATCCTTTTACGTCACACTTTTACTTTATAATTGACAACATTAATTATTTCTATTATTCTTCAAGAATTATATTTAAATCTGAAAAAAGTTGCATTAATAACATGCCATCAATTTTAGCGATAAAATTGAGATTAATTAACTAAAGATAGTTTATTGACTTCCATATATCTTTATTTTCAACATTAATAATATAGTGATATATTCACAAAACATTTATATCTATAAAATGATAGTGCTAATATTTAGCAAAACGGAAAAAACAAGTTAATCAAGCCTATATAACATTTCTATGACTACTTAGGTACTAGCCAAGTATTTATTATGACCTTGCTTACGCTTATTTTCAGGTCGCTTTTTTTTCTAATTGGTAATGCACATTTTAAATATTCCGCCAAAATATTCTTAACAATTTCCGCATTTCACAGATCGCATGAAATTCGATCTTATAAGAGCGATTTTTGTTGGAACAAAGAAGAGGATTAATTTATTAGGAAGCAGAGCAATATTGTTTCCGTTGGTTTTATAAATATATCAATGACTACTTTTTATTCTACATAAAATATGAAACATCGTTATTGCGTTTTGATAATCAATAAAATATTAAACATTCCTGTTCAATGATGTCTATAATATTTAAAAAAAATTATTTTAAAAAAATGAAAAAAATATTACAACTGAAAAAGTCACCTGAAAATGTAAGTGTAAGCTAGAATATTTTTTCATTGCTTTTCTGCTTCTTTTGCTTAAAATCTTAAACCATAAAAGCTGGGCACCTGAAAATTTAAATTAAATAAATTATTAAAATTATTATTAATAAAATTTTTATTACTTATTATTTTAAAAATGTGTTACTTACTATATAATACCACTATATTATATGAAATTTATTTCAAATAAAATATATCTATTCCTATTATGATAGAAATGTTATTTACAATAGTATTAATATTTATCCACTAATATGGAATTATTTCATTTAATTTATTCATACATAAAGTGAGAATAAAGAATTTAAATATATATTTCTGTTTTTCAAAAAATTTTTCAGAATTATTTAAAATATTATAATAAAAAATTATAATAGCAAAAACTTTTCAAAATTATTTTTTTTGATAGATTTCAAAATTAATAATTTTATTTTAAATAATATTAAGAGAAAGTTATTTCTAAAATAATAAATATAATTATTTTATAATCATATATATACATATAAGTCATTCTTGTTATTGTCTTGTTATTTTTTTATAATATATAATATATAATAAAAATATATCGATATTAATAATGTTTAGAGCGGTAAATGTATATTATTAAATATATTTTTTTAATACAAAATCACTTCATAAAATTTATTGCATATTATCATTATTTTTAACCTAATATTAGAAATTGCTATTTATCTTATAGAATTTAATATTTAAAAATAAAATAAAAATAAAATCAAATAAATCGTGTTATTTTCAGATATACCTTTTCGAGACGAATATTGACAGGGTTAATATTCAGTTGTATAGGAGATGCATTATTGGTTTGGCCCAGTTGTTTCACACCTGGAATGTGCATGTTTGCTTTAGCTCAGATTATGTACATCAGTGCATTCGGTTTTATACCGCTTAATATAATGCTAGGTACAATTTTATATGCGATGTGTTCGCTAGGTAAGATATGTATGTTATACTATAAAAATTAATAAACATTCCCATTATAAAAATATATGATAGTAAATAATGAAAATATTATTAATAATAGATTTTTGATAATATCAATGAAGAATTTGAATAAACTTTGACAAAATAAAAAAATCATATTTTTCAGTCATATATACTTTAATGCCTGGTTTAAATGGAATTCTAGTCATTGGAGTTCCAGTTTACACGGTATTATTAACTACTATGGCGTGGAGAGCAATTTCTAGAGTACAATTTTATAAAGTATGGAAAAATTTAAAAAAATCATTTTGTTTACACGATGTTTTCCAATATCTAAATTTTATGCAGCTTCTATCTCTTTATTTAGTACAAAGTTAATAGATTAATTAAGTTATATGTTGTGTTGAATATAATACGATTCACCGATTTGATTAGACAAATCATATAGAATAAATAAAATAATCTATGTCTTGACCAAATACTTGCATTACATACTAAGTTTTTCTTTTTCATCGTTTCGAAAGCAATGAAAAAGAAAGGAAATTGTATTATAAATAAATAATAATTTTAAGAAATTATTAGATTATTCAGTTTAAATATATTATTAATTATCATATTACGTTCATAAAAGAATTATATATAAATAGAATTGGAAAACATGTTAAAAAGTAATAAAATTCCTTTTTTTGTGCACGATTTATTGAATAACTCATATTCCTTCGTCAGGAATTATGGACGTGGACTAAATTATGTAGCTGCATCGGCAGTATATGTTTCCTTATATCTGATACTTTGCTTGGATTTCACTATTTTCATACACCACTACCTTATTCTCAGGTATATTGTATAATATTTTTATAAAAAAATTTTTCAATATGATTTTTTTTATTAATTATTTAAAGTATTTTTCAGGTTTCTATAATGTTAACATACTATGCAGCTCAGTTAGGAATAGCCTTGAGTGCAGTTGGTTCTAAAAATAATAACAATAATAATATCAACAACGATAAAAAAAATGAAGTAGTCTTAATGAAAGACTAAGAGAAGATTTTGTCTTTATAGACTATAAATATTAGGAATTTATATTATAATAACTTAACTGCTCAATATAGTTAAAACGAAACACAAAATACGATGAAAATACGATAGGGGTTATTATTAAAAGATAATTTGTACAGCATATGTTTATATGTTTTAGTAAAGATAATAATTTATATAATTTAATATATCGTGCTATAAATTATATGTTTTAGTTTAACGTAATTATTGTTTTAAAATAGATATAATGCACCTCATTGAAAAATTTATAATAATCGTAAAACTAAAAGACCTAAACACTGCCACTTTCTTAAGGCAAAAATTTTTATCTTATTCTTTATAATTTATTATAGTCGATACTTATTGCATTTATAATTTTTTAATGAATATTATCCATCTTATAATCATGTCAAATAAAAAAAAAAACTTCAAATGCATACTGTGAATTAGTAAGAATAATTGCATAATATTTAGTAATGATTAAAATGTTTTTCTTATATTCGCAAAAATTTTTTCTTAATTATTATTATATATTCATATCTATTATTATCATATTAATATACTCTTTAATTATATTGATATAAATGTTGAATAGAGATAAGATATAAATATTTCCACTTATCGTTTCAAATATGAAACAAATTCTGTGTGTATAGTATTTATAGAAATATTGATCACACACATAGTTTGCGTATTTTATTTTACGATAAACTTTGTGAACCAAAACGTATTTTTTGTATAATAGTGAACAAACATGTTAAGCATTTCATGTTATGATAAAAATTTTAAAAAATGAAATTCTATTATATTATTTTTACGTTGATGATATATAAAAAAAAAGAAAAAAAGACAGAAAAAATTATTTAAAAATTTAAACAATTTTTCATAAATATTCTTGTAGTTCATTTTCTAATAGTAAAAAAACTTTATGCAAAAATAGATCATATATATATATATATATATATATATAATATAATAATAATAATATATATATATATATA